TTTTTATTAACATCTGCAATAATTCAATGATATCCATTTTAATAAATTTCAATATTGATTTTCTGTGAGTCATGTTGATAATACTTTGTCAAGATAAATATTAAAACATAATTTAAGTTCTAACAGTAATATTAATTTTTTTTTCACAATTATTCACTTTGTATCTAAAAATATTTATATCAAATTGTAATAGATTAGGTAGAATTCTTTCTTTTTGTTAATCGGCCAGAATCAAGTTGGTGAATTTATATTTGCCAATATAATTTTTTCTTAATCTTTATTTTGTTATATGTAAAAAATAAATTAATTTTCAAATTAATATAATTTAACAGTTAAGAGATAATGACCAGGTATATTAAATAGTTTTACTATTGGTCAGAATTTAAAATTGAAACATCTAACTATTTTTTAGAATTTATTTGTATATTATAACAAAGGCAAATTTATATTATAATTTTTAACAAAGGCCAAATTATATTATAACAAAGGCCAAATTCATTTGTATATTATAACAAAGGCCAAATTATATTATAATTTTTAACATATAGCTAATTGTGACTGGTAACAAAGGCCAAATTATATTATAATTTTTTACTTATTAATGAGTTTTTTTTATATATATAACTCCTCAAAAAAGGAAGAAAATAAGAAAATAATTACAGGAAGCTTAACCAAAAGGAGATGTAGCTCAATGGTTATATTTTAGATGAAATTTCTAAGAAATACGTGGTTCGACTCCCCACATCTCCAAAAATATTGTTTGTAATTACCAGGAAGCTTTATACTGAAATTATTAGCCTTAAATATATATATATAATAATAATAATAATAATAATAATAATAATAATAATAATAATAATAATAATAATAATAATAATAATAATCATTTACTAAAAATAGTAGTAAGAACTTTTAGAAGCATTTAATGCATACTCTTTTTTGAAAACATTTAAATATATGCATTAATTGCTTCTATATACACTTTTTTAAATAGGATCAAATTAGATATGATCATAAATATTGTTTCCTTAAATAAATTTTATTAACATCTACAATAATTCAATGATATCCATTTTAATAAATTCCAAGATTGATTTTCTGTGATTCATGTTTATAATACTTTTGTCAAGATAATTATTAAAACATATTTTAAGTTCTAACTGTAATATTAATTTTTTTTAACAATTATTCACTTTGTATCTAAAAAATATTTATAGCAAATTGTAATAGATTAGGTAGAATTCTTTCTTTTTAGTTAATCAGTCGGAATCAAGTTGGTAAATTTATATATGCCAATATAGTTTTTTCTTAATATTTATTTAAAATATGTAAAAAATAAATTAATTTAAAATTAGTGTAATTTAACATTTAAGTTATAATGACTAGATATATTAATAGTTTACTATTGGTCAAAATTTTTAATTGAAACATATTAACTATTTGTTAGAAATTATTTGTATATTATTAGCAACCATGGATACTCTTTTTACCATTTTTTTTTTATTTTGATTTCTTTTTATAATGAAATTATTGTAAATATATTTTCATTGCAGAGTATGGTACATAAACTATAAATCCTTATAATGCAAATTTGAAATTTTTTTATATTATTGAAACGATTCAGTTTTTGGCATTTCCTATCAAAGTTGTTTAATTAGTATACAAAAATAAAATCTAAAAAACATGTGTGTATATTTTGCAATATATTTATACACTATTTAATTTTAGATTTCTTTACAATAATTCATTTTTAAGATTGTTAGTGCAACTATTCATGTCCAGTCCATTGCTCGTGGGCTACATAATTCGTGGAGAAAATATATGCTTGAAAAAAATAGACAAGTGTAACTATACATACGTATTTCATGTTTATGAAGTATCAATTTTAAGTACGACATTCCAACTATTTTTTTCACTTTGAACTACCAATTCATGCAGCTAATTGTGATAGGTAACAAAGGCCAAATAATTCTATAATTTTTAACTTATTGAGTCTTTTATTATATATAACTAATGACAAAAGGAAGAAAGTAAGAAAATAATCACAAGAAGCTTAACCAACGAGAAATGTAGCTCAATGGTTATATTTCAGATAAAATTTCTAAGAAATACGGGGTTCAACTCCTCGCTTCTCCAAAAATATTTTTTTTTAATCACCAGGAAGCTTTATACTGGAATTAATAACCTTAAATCTATATATATATATATATATAGATATATATAATAAGAATAACCATTTACTAAAAATAGTAGTAAAAACTTTTAGAAGCATATAATGCATACTAAACTTTTTAAATATATAGCATTAGTTGCTTCTATATACACTTTTTCAAATAAGATAAAATCAGATATGATCATATATATTGTTTCCTAAAATAAATTTACGAACATCTACAATATTTCAATGATATCCATTATAATAAATTCCAAGACTGATTTTTTGTGATTCATGTTTATAATACTTTTGTCAAGATAAATATTAATAGATATTTTAAGTTCTAACTGTAATATTAAATTTTTTTTTTTCACAATTATTCACTTTGTATCTAAAAAATATTTATAGCAAATTGTTATAGATTAGGTAGAATTCTTTCTTTTCAGTTAATCAGTCAGAATCAAGTTGGTGAATTTATATATGCCAATATAATTTTTTTCTTAATCTTTATTTCATTATATGTAAAAAAATTAATTAATTTCAAATTAATGTAATTTACCATTTAAGTGATAATGACCAAATATATTAAAAAGTTTTACTGCTGATCAAAATTTAAAATTGAAACATATTAACTATTTTTTAGAATTTATTTGCATATTATTAGCAACCATGGATATGTTTTTTACCATTTTTTATTTTGATTACTTTCTATAATGAGATTATTGTATATATATTTTCATTGAAGAGTATGCTAAAGAAACTATAAATCCTTATAATGCAAATTCAAAAAATTTTGATTATTGGAGCGATTGAGTTTTTGGCATTTCCTAAATCAAAGTTGTCTAATTAGTATACAACAATAAATTCTTAAAAAACACGTGTGTATATTTTGTAAAATATTTATACACTATTTAATTTTAGATTTATTTACAATAATTCATCTTTAAGATTGTTAGTGCAACTGATCATGTCCAGTCCAGTGCTCGTGGGCTCCATAATTCGTGGAGAAAATATATGCTTGAAGCAAATAGACAAGTGTAATTGTAACGCCCCACTTTTATTTTGACGAAAGTCAAAAGTCAACTTAAATTTTTCAGATTTCTTTTCATAAATCAGTGGCGCTACTCGAACTAAATCACATAAATAACGTAAATCATAAATCAAATGTTTTCATAAATCCCAAGTTCATCTAAATTGTTCATGAGGGAACATCTCCCAATCCAAAGTTCTCAAAATTCCAAAGTCATAAATCATAAATA